TTAAGTGTTGAGATTACAGGAATTGCAGAAGACCGGGTCAGTGCTCTGCAGGGCTATTTGAATCCCTCCTTCCATGGCTTTGGCCCTGCTCCCGCTCTGCTCCACTCCTGTGACCGTCTCTGTGGTGTCCCACCACTGTCACCCAGTTTATCTGAGATTTCATTTTAATTTGCTTTTGCACATGCAACATGTATCCACGCACAACTTAATACCATTAATACGGATTTACAAACATCATCGTTTTGTGTTTAATGAATCTTTGATGATCCTTATTCTGACCTGACCACAGAATCAGTGTCTTCTATTCTAACCTCTCCACGTCCAAGGGTAGGATCAAAGCAGTGTCAAAGGATGCCAGGAGCTGAATTAAAGGCAGTTCAATTCTTTTTTATGTACATAGCACCCAATCATGACAACAGTCACCTTATATTGTAAGGGAAGTTATCATCATCATAATCATCATTATTATTATTATTATTGTTATTATTATTACTATTAGTAGTAGTAGTAGTAGTGGGGCTAGTAGTAATCTATAGCAGTAATCTGCTATAGATTACTACTAGCTGTGTCTGGGTTTCCTCTGTATCTCATGCACAAGGCAAAGTGACAGGTGACCTTTTTATTGGCTTTTTTGACAAGGTTGAGGGTTTTCATCATTCTTTTTATCTTCACCTGATTTTGAATGGATGGAAATGAGCCTAACAAAAGTGGAGAATGATAGGAGAGAGGCTGTAGGACTGCTGTACCGAGAGGGAAAGGGACAGATCATAGTGAATTTAAAGAAAATTTGAAGAATTCAGGCAGACAGATTATTGGATAAATGCAGTGATGCAAAATTTTGAATGAGACTATTTCGACACTGTAGGAAAACAGAGATTAGAGCAGCACAAATAGCTCAGCCATGAAAAGGAACAGAGACGAGAGAAAATTGATCTTCCTCGTTGAATTTAAATACAAATTTCCCTGCAGTCTGAACCTGAAGAGTGTTTTTGCTGAAACGAATTCAAAGAGTTGATGTGGCATTTAGGTAGTTTTCAGGAGAAATGTGAGATTTGACTTTCAACTGATTTTGCTTTGAGTTTCTTTAAGGTGAGCCGTGCGGTTCAGAGTCTTGCTGAAATGCTGCTGGTTTCTGTCATTGCGTGCTGTCCCAAAGAGCAACCCTTCAAATTGTAGCATTATCGTTTAATGCACTTGACAAAAATCTTCTAAATGTATTTAATGTAGGCTCAAAGCGACGACACTGAAAGCCTGAGCTCACAAACTGTGAGTTAAATGGTTTGTGCTCCTTCTTTGAGTGTGACTCGCTGCAGTTCAGAGGACAGTGCTGTGAAATCGTTTCATCAATAAAGAACAGATTGTGAGTTTTCTCTCTCTCACACAGAGTGGCTGAAGTGCGTGACCTGGATACCGCTATCATGTGAGGAGGCACGTTACTAGACTTTTCCCTCCCCCTCACATTATTCGGAGCCCTTCACTGTCTCTGTTTCTCTTCGTCCTCCTCTCTGTTTATTGTTTTACTTGCATTCTCACTCTTTCATGCTCAGTTTGATATATTTACATACTGACAGGTTTACATTTCCCCCCTCTTACTGTGCTTTGGTTTTAATTTCAAGAATCAGGTGAATAAATAATAACAGAGAAATAAAGAACTGAATTAATGAAAAGATATAGCAGAAAGGTGGGAGGACGAGGAGTGAGGTCACACTATCATGAGATTATAATGACCTAAAATAGTTCAGGAAGGGTCGACACTTGTCTGAGAACTTTTGGAATTTGCCTCAGAGAGAATGTTTGATCTTATCAAGTTTAAGAAAAGACGCTGTGCCAAGGATGCACTGTGTGTGGGAGTGGGCACTGCTTTGCAAATCATTTCATTCTGCTTTCATCTCAATTTCACACAGCGTCTTATCTTGTTTGGAACTGGGGTTGCATATATGAAGCATTATGAGACCATATCATTAACATTTTTTGTCATGCTACATGACTGAATGAGGCACCACTGAAATTCCAGCTTTAGCTTCAATTCCAGCATCAGAATTATGAGTATTCCTAATTCTGGAGATAGGAATACTCCAACCATTTTTGCCAAACTGTCAATCTGAAACGTATCCATAGGCTGTTTTACAGGCTGGTCTCTGGACTTGTGTTGTTTTTGTTGTTGTATGACAAGATGACACTCTGTAAGCTTGGTTAGCTGGTCGATGAGCTGCACAGGTAAAATGTACAGACACAAATAACTGCTAATTAGTGCTAAATAACAGGTGGACAAACTGAAGCACATATTTCTGAGATAGCCAGTACTTCACAGGAAGTCATGTTATTATTCAGACAATTCTATTTAAAATCCCCCAAAATAGAACAACAGCACAAACACGGCGGGGTTCCCACTTTTCAGCATGTTCCATGAAGCCATTTCTAGAAGACAGAAGGATGTAAACTCATCATGAGGCTGCTGCTGCCTTGAGAGAAACTTGTGATGGCATAGTTTCAAGGAATAGAGTCAAGCATACAATATGTTTGCTGTTGAGAGACTTTCAGTCACGAGAACAGCACCGAGATGCTTGGATGTGAGTCTTTGGGACCTTTTTCGGCATGAAGTCAGGAACAAGAAGGGAAAAGGTCAAACACTATAGACGTTTTCCTTACAAAGTGAGCATCACACTTCTTTACGCATCTCATCTTTATTTTGTGGTGTTTTTGTGATACGATTCAATTTGCTTCTGCAACACTGCAATTTCAAATTTTACTGAGATCTTTGCGTCTTAACAGATGACCCAGCATGCACTGAGTTTTAAGCGCTGACTCTCTTTCCTCTAAGGAGGAATGTTTTGTTTTTGTTTGACTCATTCTTCTTCCTCAGCACCTGTGTTTCCCACCATGCTCAAATGTCTTCATTTCTCTCTGGGATTCAGTTTGTTGTGCAAGAAGAAGCTAATGTAGCCCCAGTCAGAGGTCTGATGAGCTCACTCCATAAATACTTTGTTTCTAAGCCAAAAGTCTTTGCCATGATTAAAATTTTAATCCTTTTCCGCCCAAAATATTTATTGAGCTTCAAAGAGCTTAAAGAACAAGTTTATTTTCCAAATCACCATCAACATTAATCAGTTAATAAAAATGAGTGTGTGTCCTTGTTCTAAATAAAGACCAACACCTGCTGCAGTAGATTTGCAATGAGACGCGCCAAATTTGGACACGTGAACATGCAAACTTTCCTTGTTTCCACAACACGTGACATGCTTTAGCTACAAGGATTTACTCACAGTCGCTTTCATTTTTTAAAGAGAAAGATAATGCGCACAAACCAGTTCTTCCAAACAAGACTTTGTTTGTTTTGTCCGTGAAGGTTTCATGAACAATGCTTCAGCAATTAAAGTCACCAGAAGCAACACTGTTAGAATAAATTCAGACCAATAAAAAAGTTTTATTTTGAACTGTGACTCGTGCAAAGGCCAATAATAAAAATATAGAGCTGGTAATGAGCATAGCAGGTTGTCTTTAAGGACTATAAGGTCATTCAGGATAAGCGTCCCCTCCCTTGAATGAGCACAATATGCTGTGCAGCGATAAAAAGCAGCGTAATAGCGGCCTTTCCGACTTGTTCAGCAGACCGGAGAAAGTTGAGAGCAGCGTGCTCCATCAGTGTTAAGCGGCTGCCCCCTACTGGTGACAGAGGGCATTACACATTAAGCCTGAAAGTTTTGTTTCAGTTCTAAAAACTGATCTGCGACAGATGTATAACTTAGGCTTTTTGTGTGTATAAAATATCTTTCTTCATAAAGAATTTCTATGTTTGCTGTGATGAATGATAACAAACTGAATATATTTGTATTTAGTGTTATTATTCAGACATAAGAGCCATTTAAAGACAGTTTTTCTTTCACGAGTTGTTCAGGTAAACAAAGGAAGACAGACATTCAGTATTAGCCTGCAAATCACTCTCTGCAACAGCAGTTTCTTCACATGGATGTTTAATAAACAAGGATCATCGCTCAGTTCAGCACAAATAATCAGCTACATAACAGCCCGACACCAACATGACGGCACACGGGTTCAAGTACTGGAGAGGGTTAAGAGGGTGTTACACTGCAGTGCATAGGTGTGGTTGTTCTCAGGTAAATATTTAGTTTTATCTAAAGAACAAAATATATTTTGAAGTCCATCTCAGTGACTTTTCTCATGTTAATGAAAACACAGTTCTCATTATTGTTCGTTTCTATATTTATCCTCATCTTAAACACAATATTATGTCCCATGAAATCAAAGATACAGGTTTTCAGATCTAAATCTAAATGAACATGTCTTTCCTTACATACTAAAATTTCAGCTCCCTTCAGTTTTCCGTCCAGCTTTAGCTTGGAGGTGAATGCCAGTGGTGCAATCATGACCTGTGATGTGGTCCCTCTGAGGTTCAGCTGGTCAACTAACTACATCCAAGGCTGACGAGTATAAGGCTGAATCAAGACGCTGAAAACTCACATGGCACTGCAACCACCTGGCCCCACATCTGATTATGTCCCATTTCTACTTCTGTTTGACGGTGTTGCCATCTACAAGTCTTGATTTTATTATTTTTGAGCTACTACTTTGTTCTCTGTATGCCGCCTTCTCACAAAGTACAGAAAATCTGAACTCTTGCACGGTAAGATGCATTTTGGCAGTTTTTTCTGATTTATAATTAAAGTATAATGGAAAGATAAGTACATAGGATATATGCACCACAAAAGGTTTGTCAATACCAGCCTTGAAGTTATCATAATTCATAAAGATTGTTTATCTAACTCTGTCTTTGTGGTCCACTCTTACTGCCGTTGTAGCATTATTTTCAGCTACAGCAGGCAGCTGATTTCAGAGGAGAAAGCTCTCAAGTGTATTGACCTCCTTAGTACCAAAGACCACACAGAGACATTTAGAGACCAGCTTTTAAAAGTAGTGGAAGATTTAGCAGCAAAAGACACGAGAGAATGAACATGGGTAAGAAGCAGGAATAATAAGGCCCCATGAATTTGTCTGTATCAGCTAATCAATCAACCCAAGTCACCTAAACAATGTGCTGGAGAACTCGAGTCAGACTTACTATAGTTTTGTATCTGTAAAAGTACAGAATATCACATCAGTTAATTTTTTTTCTTCAGAAGTCTACCTTTTACTTATTATTCTTTTATTTAAACCTATAATGCTAAACTATAATAACCGAGACTCAGGTTTCTTGTGGATATTTGTTGAGAAGTCTGATTCTGCGGTTTGTTCAGTTTAGACAACAAACATCATTTTTAGTTGTTGTAATGTGGGATTCTCTTCTAAGCTGCTAAACGTGACATTCACCAACAGCGCTCCTGTTTATCTGCCAGCTTGAGATCAGTGAATTTTAAATATTTAGAAGCAGTTAAAATAAGTCCTCAGCCTCATTAGTGCAGTAAGCAGCAGAGGTAGATAATAAACCCAAATCAACACCTGCAGCCAGTTTATTAGATAAACCGAGTTCACTGCGGTTTGTAATTTGCACTCATTTGTTCAGATTATTAGTCCCAGTGCCCGATAGTGTTCCCGTACATTTACATATTCAAACTGGAGGTATCGTATCTAACCAGTTCCTCTGAGCAGCAGGTAGACAGCAGAGATGGTGATGGCAGTGGCGGTGTAGGCAAACACTGCATTATAAAGATTGGTGGTCCTGATTTGTTCTCCCAGAGTCCTCTGAGTCTCCTCCAGACTCCTCACCACTGCCTCAGACTCAGCTCTCTCTGGTCTCTCATGTAGCAGCTGACCAGCTTGTGTCTGAAGCTGTGGTTTGGTCTCCAGCAGCTTCCTCACGGTTGACACTTCACTTTCAACTTTCCCAAGCCCTCGTTCCAGTTGTCCCAGTTTTGGTGGCAGGGACTCTAAGAGGGACTCGGTCCTTTTGCTTCCAGTGTGGAGATCTTTTAAGGCTGAAACAGACACAGAGGGCGAGTGTGGGGCTGTGCCTTCTTTGTCCTGGCGAACAGCTCTCCTCTGTGCGAAGGTTTCACTCAGAGCAACTCTGAGACTGTCAATGAGCGTTCGGAGCTCGTCCTGCTGGGAGCGATGGTTTCCAGCCTGGATTTTCAGGGCTTCCTGCAGGCTCTCTGGACCTTTCTGGGCCTCCAGCAGCAGATTCTTCAGCTCCTGCAGAGGAGAAAAGAGTATATGAGCTGAAATAACTGCTGTCTTGGTGAGGATCAGATAAAGGCAAGTGTTAATTACGGATGGGTGACATATTAAAGGAAAAATCTACATTAAGGAGGCTAGTCCAGTCATTTTTCTAACTTAACCTGTTTTTAAGTCCAAAATTGGCCTCATGAAGGCTCTCTTAAAGGAACATGGCAGTAGGTTTTGCATAGCAAACCTTCCAGAAACAGGAACTACAGTGCTATTGGGTATGGGTATAGTTCCTGAGAAAGTCCACCACTTACTCCGTTTCACTCGCAGTTTCAACAACGCTTGTCAACTGTTCTCATTCATCTTTTTCATTTTCTTATTTCTTGTTGGCATTTATAACAGTAAAGCTAAAAACATTAATAAAAACATATGAGACACTTTTCAAAAACAGGTACAAAGCTTCACATTGTTGTTAGTGTTTAGTAAGACCTAGAGTTTAGGGGAGGGTGTTGGAACAGTGCCAGCGCAGTTGCTTCAGGTAAAAAAAAGAAAAAAAAGAATCGGTGCACTGAATGAGGTCCCCTAGTGTAGCACCCCTCCTCACCTGCAGGCGGACTCGGTTCACGTATGTTGACCCCATGACTCCGATCAGGGCTCCGAGCACCGAGCCAATGATGGACCAGTTCTTGGTGCGTTCTGCTCTCGTCCTCTCCTTCTCGTGGCTTCCTCTAACGGCCGCAGAGAATAAAGCAAACTTCTCCCTCTCTGAACCCTCTGCATTCTCGTACGCTGTCCGGAGGCGGCGCTCCTCCTGCAGTGACAGAGAGGTGGGGTTCAATTCAATCTTCTTATCCGACATCATTAACCTCCTAGGACCTGGCGTCCACATATGTGGACATCACACTTTGGGTTATTTAGACCAAAATACTCAATTTTGCTCTACAAGGGCCTGATATCCACTTACGAGGAAACTATAGAAACTTTAAACGAATGTCTAACGAATGTTAGAAACCAAAATCAGGTAAAAAAATAAAAATAAAAACCTGGTAATTCTTTGTTCTAACATTCATTGGGTCCCAATACGTCCAAATATCAAAGAGTAATTAAAAATGCATGCCATGGAAGAGTTCAGGTCTTAGGAGATTAATGATGTATGATTGTATAATGTGAACTGTGGTTAACTCAAAATAAAAGCACTTCCACTTCCACTACTGACCTCAAACCAACTATAAAACCTAAACCAACAGTTGATGGACCACGTGTTGTTATGGAAGTCTTGACCTCAATTAAAAATAAATCAAAGATTTGTTTTTAAATCCATGCTTAATAGTCTCCAACAAACCAGTGATACCTGCAGTACGGTATTTAATTTTATTTCTTGTCACTCATGGCAGTAAAGTGAATCTCTGTGGTTTTTGGACTGTCTGTGAGATTTTGGTTTGTTTTAAACAAACCATCTGAAAAACAAATTACAACAAAAGCGACATGAAATTTAAGACATTTAATTTTTAATGACTCAAGGACATGGGTTTTGTGTATTTTAATAGCTTCAGCTCACTTGTAGGAGTTTGTGCTCCATTGTGGCCAGTTCCAGGTAGTGTGGCTCCTCCCTTGAGACTCTGTCCAGTCGGTCTCTGATCTCCTTCAGCCTGCCCTGCTGAGCCTCCAGGCTAGCATGAGCCTCACGAACTATCCCTCTGGCCACCATGAATGCTGCCTCAGCCTGGAAAATACAAAGATCTGTCAGAGAACTGTATAACAAGCACCTGACATTCCTTATTCATTATCCACTAAGTCATGTCGGCACAGACTAAACTTGGACGCCGTGTTTTTACTGACCTGAGTGACCTTTGTCTGAGCCTCGCGGACCTCATTCAGCCCCACAAACTCCTCATACTTCTCCCACCAGTGGTTTACTGTGGCAGTGGCTGCTTGAGCCGACCTCTGACTCCACTGCCGCCCAAACTCACCTGCATGCTTAAAGATAAAGAGAAGAGAGAAAAAGGATGACAGTGTTCAAATTTGTTTCATTGTGTTTTGAAGTTCTGCTGTTACCGTAAGAAGAAGATCCTTTTTGTACCTGTAAGACAGTCAAGGCACGCTCCTTCAGAAGCTCTGATCCTTTTTTCCCTTCAGAAGGGGAAGGCTTGTTTGGAGGTGGTGGTGGTGATGAACCAGGCTGATGGAGAGCACTGTAGGTTCGTACCTGAGTGAGTTTGCCAGGCAGTGAGTAGCGGGACAGACAGCATGAGCCATGAACCCAGAGATAGATCTGAGCCCCTCTGTACCTGACAGAGTAAAGATAACATTAACCAGTTATATTTACAATCACAAATACAGATACAATGCTCACACCAGTACCTCATTGAGCAGAGCAGCAGCAGTACAGGTTAAGAATAGTCAGAGATTGACCGTCACAGCAGCCAACACTGGAACAGGCACCTGGGAGAATAAAGGGAAAACAATTTAATTTGATTAACTATAAGCTTTATAAGATTTGTGGCATCTTGCATAAGGCAGTCAGCAGGGGGTGTGCTGTTGTAGAAGACAGACCATCTAGTAATATGGAGCTTCTTCGGATAACTTTTAAATCTCCCAGAAATCCTGCTTAGTAGGCACGCTTTCAAAGGCCATTCAGGCACAGTGAGAGCTTAGTCTGCCAATAATAAGTCAAACTCGTTCCCAGTGGGTGCAGGACCTCACGAGCACTGCACTTTGTCACAGATTCGGTTCAAAAAATGTCTGGATATCATTTTAAATATATCAAGAGTACTTTTCCACCAAGGTTACCTACTTCCTAGCTAGCTAGATGTTGCTCCATGTAGCTACCGGCTAGCTGACTTTTCATAAGTTTTAAACTGTTTTGGGACTCTGATGATACTGTTATGTACAAAGCGATATAACAGAGCAAACATACCCGTTTTCTTCAATTATGTCAGCGGACGCATAAGACACGAATTACGTTTCTTTAGGGTAACAGCATTGTAGCATATTGATGTCAAGAATTTTCTTTGAGACAGGCAACAAGCGGTCATTCTATTTCCGGTTCAACGGGGACCTAACAGCGCGGATTAGCGAGAAGTACCAGTTGTCTTCGCAGCAAACTTTCCTTTCCTTTAAATTTTATAACAAACTGTAACCATGTCTGGAAGAGAAGGTGGGAGATTGCTTCATTTGAGATTCGTCTGTAAAATCTGCACATCTTAAAAGATACTGACGATTTTCAGTTTAGCACGTTTATAGTGGGCTAATGCTAGCTGCCGCTAAAGATAACGTTTTCTCTGACCAATCGGCAGTTAAAAATGTGCCATATTACGATTTTTTTTCTGTTTTGGGATATACATACGGAAGATAGAATATATTTTCAGGCCATTTTTAAATTATTGGGACCGAATGGACCATTCGGCTTATAAATATTCTCTCAGGCAACAGACAATATAAACGAAATATTTAAAATTTTAAATATATTCCTTCTTCTTTCTTCGAATAACCCGTGGTGGTAACTAACGTTTGTATTCGAGGCTCAAGGTTTCGCGGTCATCTGGCTGCCATTTAAGTTAAAGCAGATTTTAAGGAGTTTAGGTTAATTTTTTTTCCAAGCAAACAATAAAAAAAAAAAAAGTCAAGAACGCTGTGTTGACGTAATGACGTAACTTGGATCATATTCCTTCGTATATTTCATTTTTATTCACTGACTATTGTTTATTAGATATTGTAGATTTAGTTATATTTTCTATTTTATTTTCATAACAAGGTAATGAAGATTGTCTAAACTTAGTCAATTTATTTTAAAGAGAAACGTTCAGACATTGTAGTCCATTGTTATAGAATGCAGTTTTTTCCCCACTGTTTTTATTAGTATACTTTTACTTTGTGGATCTGTTCTTTAAATACGTTTGCCTAGCTTAGGTTTTCATATTTTGTATCTACTTATTGTGTTATTTATTAATTTACTTTTATAGTTCTGAGTTTCATTTTGCTCTCACTGTATTTATGTATCTATGTAAATTTTATTTCTCAGGAGGTAAAAAGAAACCACTGAAGGCTCCCAAGAAACAGAACAAGGACATGGATGACGTATGTATCTGGCTCTTTTCCCCCCTCACCATAGACTGTGTAAAACATTTAATATCAAGCCCCTAAATCATTTGCATCCCTTTGTAATTAAGATAACATGGATAAGAAGACATTTACATTGCATCATTGCAATATTTTATACATCTCGTTTTTGTTTATTTTTTAAAGTAAAGCTGTTTTCACAGATAATTTGATACATAAACTTTGATGTATGGATCATTTCGCTAACCCTTTATATTTTTTGTGATCTACTTTGTCATTTAATTCTGCTTTAGTAACCTGTATTAATGCCCATTGAAAATTAGAACTGGTGATAAAAATGTATTCCTTAACTTGTTGATAACAAAATCAAATCATTGTTACACAACCCAGTGCGATGTCTTCAGGTGTCAGCTGAGAATCTGATAAATGGAAATCAGATGAAATATTAATTTTTGTTATTTGACTGAAGGGAAGAAATATTCTGAGGTAAATGTCAGCTGTGGCTTGGAATGAGCTGAGCATAAGACAGAAGCGTAGAAAGATTTTAGATTGTATGTGTCTCCGTAGGATGATGTAGCCTTCAAGCAGAAGCAGAAGGACGAACAGAAGGCCCTGGATGCGTTGAAAGCCAAAGCATCAGGAAAAGGACCTTTAAGTAAGAGCTGTGTTTGTATTTGTAAAGAATTATGCACAAAAACAAGAAGTGAAGAAATGCACCAGATTTATGTACTCCCGCAACTACTGCTACACTGCTCCGTGATCAGGTGCACACAGGAGTGATAAAATGCAAAATACATACTCAAAGCACAAGTTACAAGTGGAGTAATATAATACATGAATAATACCAATAATACCTGAAAACCTCCAGCCCCAGTCCCACGCACAAAAAACAAACCAAGAAAACCCACACACTATAAAACCTTTGTATCTATATCCACCCAACATTCAATCACCAGACCATCCCACGTATATAGAAACAGAAAAAATCCGGATCAGGTTGAATTTATTAATTTTGTTTCATAATGACAAACCTTACATATTTCCAAACATACACATCATGATCATACACACCAGCTGTGGTGTTTCCATAACTGATACGTTACCAGCACACAGTGAGAGTTCAGGAATACAGTGACTTCAGCAGAGTGCTGAGCTGCAGGATTCAGGTGATCTGCCAGTTTCTGTAGCCATTTCAGTTTTCAGGGTTCACTTTTTGCAATTTTCTTATTTCCGTCCATAGACTGCTTTCAGATGTTTGTCAACTTGGTAGCTTAACCTTGCTTAACATTTCTTACCATGGCTACAGTGAAAGCCTCAGGTTAGCCCTGGTGTTTCACTGTACAGCTTGTACTTTCTCTGCAGGTCAGGAAACTGAAACAAACCCCAAACTTGCAGCAAATTTAGTCCAAAGTAGACCTCATGTCTCTCTGATGTTTGCGTCTCCTTTAAAATTCAAATATTTTATACTTTGTTTATGCTATTTTGTTTTGATTTCAGACTTTTTATAAGCATGCATGCCTTTATGCAGTGATCTCTTCTTTTAGAAAAAATAAAGTAAATTTATGTTATTGTTTGAGAAAACCTCTCATTTTAAAGTCTTTCAGTCATCAATATATTTTCAAACTTGAAATCTCACTGGTCACAGTTGTGGCTGCAGTTTTAATTAGATGCTTTCTAACACCCAATCTTTTTGTTTGCTTTCTCTCTCATTCAGCTGGAGGTGGCATCAAGAAATCTGGGAAGAAGTAAAACCTGAGCTGCTGATTTTTGTTTGATCCTGTTCTCGCTTCCTTCGTCTTTTTGCTGAAAGACTACAGTTTGTTTTGCTCGTTAAAAAATAAACTGCATCAAACTCAAAACCTGCTCGGGTGCTCAACCTTTAGTGGAGTAGTACAGGGAATAAATTTAACGATGTTAGGTTTTCAAGGACAATGGCCCTCCAACTGTGATGTTTCACTCATACACACAGATCAGCCACAAATCATTATTGTGTGGAGGCGTTGGCAGTGGATCTCTTTGGGCTCTTTCTGCCCATCGAGCCTGATTAGATTGAGGTCTGGGTATTTTTGGAGGCCAGGCCAACACCTTCATGTTTCTTAAGCAGTTTTTGCTTTGTGTATAGTTCATCGTCCTGCTAGAGGAGGCTGCTGCCATGCACCAATGTTTAGGTAGGCGATGACATCCTGTTCTAATGTTGTGGCTGATCAGCGTATATTGACCAATATCTTTAAATCTAGTTATGAAATGAAATGAAGGCCTGCAGCTTAAGATTTAGAAGGACTGTAAAACTAATGTCCACTGCATTTTGTGTCCATATGAAATTTCTAACCATCACAAACCAGCCCAAGTCCATGAGTTTTGTTATCTTGTAAAGCAGGAGATGCCAATAAAGTTTTTTGTTTTTAATTAATGCTTGTTATTATTTGTTCTTTTTAAAAAAAATTTGGTAAGAAATCACTTAAAGCTTAATTATCAAGCTGTGTTTAAAATAACAGTAGTCATGAAGCTTTATTTGAAATGCTATTAAAATGTTTAATCTGTTTCTGGTTTTATTAAATTAAACAACAGCACTTTAGGACTGAAGAGACAACTGAAGTGTTGTAGTTACATACAGATTAAACAAAAAGGCACATACATGCTTGTAGCATTTTTTTCAACTCAATATTTCTCATTCAGCAATAGAAACTGCTCTCAAAGTATGTATATAAAAGATGTTGCTTCAGTCTGAAAAGTGAAGCCAGTGCAGACATGTCTGGAGTATTCTAATAGCCAGCAGGGGGTGGCAGAAAGAGTAGTGATTGTATAGGATTATAAAGGGAAGCGCTCACTGCTTTTCCTTTTTGACCTTAGTAAATACTTTAATGAGTTCATGGCCGCAATTGGTAGTTTCAAGTTTCACTGAACACGATATGTTTATTTTGTAAATTATGTTCTCCATTAATGTGAAAAAGCTACGCTAGATCACTCGATTTCATGTTAAGATCTACCGCGTACTTGTGACTTTGGTGAAAGTGGTAGGCAATAGCACTTTGCAAATCAGTGGATGATGTCACAGTGGCACACCTTCCGTCTTTCATCTATACAGTCTTTGAAAGCTACAACCCTGTTTATTAAACCATGAGTTAGACTCTAGCTAACAATTATAAGTAATGCTGAGCCTGAGAACAGATGTGTTAACGCTATTGTATGAAATCACTTTTCCAATATTTCCATCTCCTTTAAAGTAACTCTTATCTTGTGGATTTTGTTGTCCCAATAAATACATAGTATAAATTGTAAAATTGTGATTTTAATATTTATTTCAATTGTGTCGTGTTAAAAGCATAGCTTCACAGTCAGTTTTTTTTAATGGGTAATATATACAATTTCATTACAGTAGAAAATTTTAAAAAATAAATCTTAAAGGGGACTAAGTGACAAAAACTAAATCCCTGTGATAGGTTTGTAGCATAAACCTATTCGCTGGAACGTTAAGGACAATTTAATTACACAGCAAAGCAAGACACGAGTAGGCAAAGTTCTTCATGTTTCTCGTGCACGGGAGAGAACGACAAACGCCGTTCCTTCGCTTGACCCCAGTTGCTCTCATCTTCTCCCCCGTAACACTGCTCTTTTATTGAGGTTACATGAATATGCATAGGTGCATTAACATACGACGTATACATACACACAAAGAGTACCTTGCCTGTGCGTTGTGTAAGTGTGTGTGTGTGTGGGGGTGGGGTCAGAGTGTGACCCCATAAACAACTTCCCTAACCCTGCTGGTTTGGAAGTCCAGCAGTTCATCTAAACAAAAGGCACTTAGACTAAAACAGATATAGACAGTTTATCCTACCATAAAACAATAAGAGAAGGTACGACCTCTCCCGTGCTCCCAGAATGTGGGTGTGAATGCCAGAACACTCTGGAATGCACACCAAGCCTATGCAGACTGCCAAAGATCACACATCCTATCACTACACAATCGATTAAACACCTCTAAGCATATATGGTTAAATATTTCTAAGCATAAATGACAATAAACAATATAAATCTAACACCCTGAATTAGAAAAAGAGTACAGCTCAAATGAGGTCAACCGACAGGGACAGCAGGTTATACTGCTGAACTCGTCCAACCCAAAACAAAAACAAACATAAACAAACAAACGCATCACAAACTTCACATCCTCAAACACAGAAACGACTTAGCCATCTTCCCGTCAATATCATTTTCATCCTCGTCATCATCATCTTCATCCTCATCGTCTTCATCCTCATCATCGTCGTCAGCTGGTTCCACATTCTTGGCGCCTTTGGCTCTGTAGGCAGCCACTTCCATCTCATATTTTTCCTTCAGTTTGGCGTACTTGGCCTTATAGGGGGCCTTGTCTGTGGTACTCATCTTTTTCCACATCTCACCAGACTTCTTGGCGATGTCAGTGATGGAGATCCCCGGGTTATCCGCCTTGATCTTTTCACGGTGTTCAGAGGTGAAGATAAAGAAAGCAGAAGGTGGCTTTTTGGGCGCGTTGGGGTCCTTCTTCTTCTTCTTGCCCTTCTTGGCACCTGCAGGTGGTACATAGGACTTCATCTCCTGGTCATACCGGCGCTTGTCATTCTTGGCCATCTCTTCGAACTTTGCCTTCTCCTCAGGTGACATGGACTTCCATTTTTCTGAGCACAGTTTGGAAACCTCTGGTAATGTTACTTTGGCTCCTGGGTGCTTCTTCTTGTGCTCCTTATAGAAGTCCACAACAAAGAATGCGTAGGCGGGGGTTTTTCCTTTCGGCTTTTTGGCTGCAATTAATTTGTTCTAATTAATTAATTTTAAACATGTTTGCATGTATAAGTATTTTCTTTGAGCAGAAAGTTCATATCACACTTTGAACATGTCAGGAAAAAACAAATTCTGCATCCAGTTGATTTTGAACTCACTCTCTGAACATAACCTGCATATATTCAACGTAAGCATATCTTTCTAACAAATGTCTAAAACGTGTGTAAGTTTTATTTTTTACATTTTTGGGAAAGATAAAAAAAACATTTCTTAATAAGAATGAAAAACTGACTTCACAATTTTAACAGGTCTTGTAGTATTATGGTACATAAGCCTTGGATATGTATAAATATCCTGCTTACCGTTTGTTTCATCTGTCTCAACTATGGACTTCAACTCAACCTCCACTGGATAATGGTCACTCACTTTCAGAGCCTGCAAAAGAAACAAAATGTACTGATTAATAGTTTTTGAACAAATATCGAGGTCTAGCTGAATGTCCCCATGAATCAGCGGTTTGTGCATGGGGTATGTTGTCTGGGGTTGCTAGGGTCTTACAAAAGCAAAATGGTGTTGGGTGAGGGGCCAAGAGAGTGTTTCACAAAACCCTCACTCAAGGGACCAGTTTACCCTCCTGGGACAAGGTTAGGTCTGGGGTGAGAGCTTGATGCTGTGCACCTGGTGTGCAGGTTCAGCCTGAAGAGGCAAAACCTAATGACAGTGACATGATCCTGGGCCATGTTGGCCCAGCATTCTTAGTTTTCATGTGTTTTGGGTTTTGTTCTTTATCTATGCCGTGGTTTCTAGGTTGTTCTGTTAAGATGTTCCTTATTTGATTACCCCCCGTGTGCCCCTCTGTGTATCTGTGAGCCCTCGTTTCCTCTCCTTGTGTTTTATTCCATGTTTTCCCCAGCCTGTTATGTCTGTGCTCTCCTCAGGCTGTCTCTCTTTTCTCTCCAGCAATAAAGCTGTGTTTTTGAGTTCATTCCTGCCTTCGTGAGCTTGCGTTTGGGTCCTCATCCTGCCTGCACACAGCCGCAAACATGACAGACAGTATGGAAAGTATCCATACTGTCATAATGACAGTATGGATACTTTCTATACTGCAGTGGTTTACATTTTCAAAGACAATGAGCTGACAGGCCAAGGGTAGAGTCTTTGTCAAACCCAGGTCATAGAGTTACCAAGGACACTTGGTGACTGTGACACTGTTAATAATTTACCCTAAACTTTTGTTTGTAAGAATAAAGGTCCCACATCACTGAACCCTCTCTTTTTGAAAGTTGAAAGCTTGCTGATTTTCAACATTTTTGTGGCCATTGATTGACGGCCTCTTAGGAATTTTAATTAAAGCCATAACACCGTACCGCAGCTGTACTTTGGTACCGTCTTTAAGCAACCATGCCAGCTTTTACACACCGAGTTCTGTTTTTCATGTCCAGCTATTTCAGTGATCTTTAAACAGAGTGAGTGATGTGACACAAACACAATTATCTGCCTTATAATTTAGTGTCTAAAACCCTTCTGACTAATCATATTCTACGTGTGATATTGCAAATAAGGCAGAGAATATAAGAGTAATTCATTTGGTGAAAAGCATTAATCAAAACAGACCTGCTCATCATCGAGATTAAACTCCTCCTTGAAGTTGAAGGCTTTTGCAGATTTTTGTTCCACAGCATTAAGCATGTCATCTCCATAGACCACGATCCTTAACACAGATAGGGAAAAAGGCTTATTTTAAAAACCCATAATGCCAAATTTAAATACATAATTAGAAAAAAAGCAAGTACATTTAGCACCACTCCATTTTAATGTGGCAAAACAAAAGAATCTACTCCTCCTTATTTCAGATAATTTGAAGAAACAGCGTGATGTGTTTATTTTCTTGCTGACGAACAGATCGATACCAGTCTCACGTCTGTCGATTCAAAATAAAGCTGCAGCCAGCAGCTGCTATGCATTACCTGTCATAGGTGTTGGTGTTCTTGGTGCTTGTTGTAGTGTCGACGTTATCTCCAATCAGCCAGTGGAAGTTCTCGTCTTCACGAATGCGAATGGTCTTCATGTCACGGTTGGAAACGTACGAGCCGTCTGCATTGAAGTCACCCAAGATCATAATGTTCTGCAGCAAAGACATGAAATATTTGCACTTGAGTGTTTTGCTTTAACTCCTCAATATATATTCGTTTTGTTTTCCCAGTTTAGTGGTTGGATTGGTTCATACGCCTTTTACTACACAACTCTGTCAAAATCTACAAATTTTCACAGAAGTATGAATTCCTGCTTTCTCTGTTGTGCAACCAACCCAAGCTGCAAAGCTTTAGACACTCTCTAACTTCTCCTTACATCAGTATTCCATTTCGTCTTAACAAACATGACGACATCGTATAGTTCATCGAGCTCCTCCACAGAGTCCTTTGGTTTGGTGTGAACTGGGATCATCACCAGGTCCTCCACAACTACAGCGAGAACACAAATACACACAGTTTACATCCATGACTCAGTAAAAGGGCTAGATGTTACAGTCCCTGATAATGCATTGCTTTAAATGGAGAGACTCTTGAGGGATCTCTGTTATGAGGAAAGGCAGCCCAGAAACTTTGCCAGCAGCAAACATTGTTGTGTGCCTCAACTTTCGGTCTTTTACCCAGGCTAATCTGCTATTTTTTCTTCCTTGGTTAGGTTTAGGAATTAGAGATCTGATCTAGATTATCATATTAAAATTTGGGACACATTGTCAGTTGTGGACCTTGGATTCATCGGATGTTTTGGCCATTATCACTAAACACTGTCATCCAAGGAGGCCCTGCCAGGGTTGATCAGGCCTTGGAGTGTGTCACTGGTTTATGTTAAATTGTTATTTCTCTTCTTTCTTCTGTTTAGTTTTCTACAGTTTATTTTCTGTCTATTCACTGCAACTGAGAAATAATACTTACCTCTTTAGCATTTATGGAGCCTCACTTCTTCAAAGGGATAGAAAAGGTGATAGAGAGAAGTAAGACAAAAGGGACAAGATAGGAGAGAGCAGAGAAGAGAGCTGGAAGGGGGGCTGGGGCTGGCTTTCCACACCTCCCCGCCGAATTGGGCTGTACGCTCTACCTCCCCACTGCCTCCCAGAAAAGGGAAGAAGAGCAGAGGGGAGAAGAGGAGAATATTTATTTTCTCTCGCAGTTAGCTGACTGCCTTAACTGCTCAAGTGATGTCAGCCCTTTTTAGGCATAGCCAGTGACTGGTCCTCTCAGCAGTGTCCTCTGATCCCAATCTCTCTAAGCAGTTTGGCTGTTGTACTGGCAACAAAGCCCCTGCACCCCACTTCCACCAGGCGCACCTTGATCTTCCAGCCTGTGTCCTCTGCCTCAACTGCCAAGTTGGCATAGCGCAGCTTCTTCCGCTCAAATGCTTCCTCAATTGCTTCCTCCCATGGTACCGTCAGCTCAATGACATACGCATGTTTTTGAGAGTTAGACCAAAGGACGAGGTCTGGTCGCAGAGTAGTTGTTACGATCTCTGTGGGAAAAATTAGCCTCTGATCCAAGTCCACTTGCATCTGCCAATCCCTGGCAGCCTTCAGCGGGCCCAGGTCCTGGGCTGAGGGGCTTGTCCTCGGCTTGTCCTCAGCTTGTCTCCCTCCCGGACAAATGTTGATGAAAACTGATGCTCCTCTTGGTTCGTGAAAGGTTGAGCGTTGATGGATTTTCTTTTGCACTCAACTTTCTTGGCTAGACACCTGAGGGACCTGGTTGTGAATTTGTGCTTGAGTGTATCTGGGACTGTACACAGGGGGCAGGACTACATTCAAGTCTTACTGATTATTTACATTAGTGTAAATTAGTTCAAATTATTGATTGCCTTTTAATAACATTTATGAAATAATTATATATTACTTAATTACCCTAAAGTTAAAACCAGCTGATTTTCTCTCCATACAAATACACACTTCCCCATAATGTGTAAACAGATTTAGGTTATCACAGCTTTAAAAAAAAAACCTGGACTAGAGACTCATCTGTACATCCAGGTTACATAAAGGCGCAGCCAACAGGAAGGCCACAGAAGACATAGTATCAGCTTTAAAGTTGTCTTGTCTTTAAAGAGCTGTTACACTGATTACACACAAGCTTAACTCCCTGCTGATCCTTGCATTTGTTTCCATGACAAACATATCCTACCTGTATTACTGCATCTTAATTTCAGGATGTAGGGGTCTCTGTTAATAACATCTTTTCCTGTTGTTGCCTCTTCATTAAACTGCTCATGGTTCACCAACGTAACCACATCACTTCTACACACACACACACACACACACACACACACACACACACACACACACACACACACACACACACACACACACACACACACACAGTGTGGATG